AAGAAAAAAAGAATAGTTGAACCAAGAGACTCAGAAAGGCCTTCTGCACAAGAGCAGAGGAAAGGGGAGTCTCCTCCTCCCATCTCCACCCCAACATTAGCCAGTAGCCCAAGTCGGCTGCACTTCCTAATGGGTACAGGAATGCTGTAGAGGGTCCCTGGGGTTTCCTACTCCATGATTCCCCAGGATAAATCCCAGGATGAGAGTGTTGCTAAGGAGAGCTGACTATCCCCTGACAGCAGTCTGCATTTAAACCTACAAGAAATTCCCATATTCTTTTGACAGTCCATCTTATCCAAGAGAAGGCCTTAAGCTCATCGTGATGTTTTGGTATACAACTATTAAAGCATTATTTAAAATACTACTCTATTTCACAGAAAATTATAATAACCAAATAACAAATAAAAACTTAGGTAGAGAATGATGACTTTCCTGGAAATGATTGTTTTATCTGCTTCAGGTCAATAACCCTCTTTGACCTATCAGGACAGGCCCCCTCTTGTGTCGTCATCTATCACTGATATCTATCACTGGCACTAATTTTTTTTTTAAAGAAAACTAATGTAGTACTATAAATATGGGCTATAATAATATATCCTTAAACAATGGATAAGTACTACATGGAGTCAATTTTTCTTACAATTAAGTAAGCACAAGAGAAGATTTTTAAGTGACTGGTTTTTGTGCTCTTAAATAACCACTGAAGTCATTCCCTTTTTTTTTTTTTTTAAGATTTTATTTATTTGTGAGAGAGAGAGCCTGAGTAGCAAGTGTGGGGAGGTAGGGACGGAGGGAGAAGCAGACTCCTACTGAGTAGGAAGCCAGACCCCAGGATGGGATCATGACCTGAGCCAAAGGCAGATGCTTCACTGACTGAGCCACCCAGGCAGCCCTAGTGAGGTCACTCTTGAAAGAAGGTCTTTTCATGATTTAAAGAAACATTTGCATGTGCACAAATCTGATGTTTATTTTCAGCCTGGTATTTTTATCCTTTCCTTTTTTCTATTTTATTATGGGTGATAGTTTTCAAAATGTCAACTCTTTGTACCATAATGTGTTTAGGGAGAACCCCTGGTAGGATGGTCCTGGGTTGTTTCCTCTTGGTTGGTTCCTCTACATCTCCTTCTGTGCACCTTTCTCTCTTCTGCTCTACTGTATTAGTTTTGGGATAACAAAATCATATATGGCACATTATGAATAGTGAAGTCAGTGTTAAAATGCAGCTCCTACATACAAGGTCTCCAAGTTCTGTTATGGTCAGCTTTTCAAATGCCTTATTCAGTATGGAATTAATTATAGTCATTTTGAGCATCACCTGCTAAAAATGCAAACTGTATCTTTAATAAAATGCTTTTTTGTATCAAGAATAAGATAACAAAATATTCAAAGAATAATTGTAAACCTTATACATTTTGTGAAATCTTTCATAAGGTCATAAATTTACTTTTATGAAAATCCCTCAGAGAGTTCAGAAATCCTCCAGCTGATAGAAAGACATCAACTCTTAGTTCTCTGGGTGCCTTAGCATCTGTAATGGTCACAGGAGCCAGAGACTGGCTCATGCAAGTTCATCTACAACTATGTAGGTCGCCTAACTGGTCATATTTTTTAGGGATTATTTCCCATTTCTGGAGTCCTAATGATCAGAATGTAAACCTTGGTATCTTTAATGAGGAAAATAATGTGTCCCCCTGTCCCAAATTCAGTGTTCGGCCAATACATATCTATATGATCAACAAAATAAAGGAAGGTTTTCAGATCCTAGGCTTGAGCATTTTTTTTGTTTTAGAGGTGACAGATTTGCTGAACAAAGCTCACGAATCCCCTCTTCCTCTCTACTCCATTTTCCCCACTCAGCACGCACATAGACGCACACATACACATACACACACAGCCCTTTACAACCCTGCTCCGTCTCACTGTTGTTAATACACACATCAGCTCTAGGTCACCCAGCTTTTCTGAAGGAAATTGACTCTCTGAGTACTCTTTTATTCTCCGTATAAGTTACATTACAAGCAATAGTACTAAACTTTTCAATGCTTACAATGTTCCCCGTGAGTGTATCAGTTGAGCAAGCAAAAAAAAAAAAAATCTGGAAGTTTATTATTTTTCCACCAATATATTTGACACCACCTTTGGAAGGGAACAAAAGGCATACTGTCAAACGGATAGACCTGGACAAAATGTTACTGTTTGTTCCTCACGAGCACAGAGGTATATTTAAGCAAAGAAAGACATTCCATGACTCTCCTGGGACTTCCTTCCTTCAGCTGAATTATACCAACATGTTCACACCACTGTGGTTCAGACCATGTTGGAATTTAAAATGCAGACTCTTCTTTGCCAATGTTTAAATACCACGGCTATAAAAATTCATATTAGGATTGAACCTGGCCTTAAAATATCATAGAATAATGAGAGTTTAGTGGGGGAAAAATGTGTGTACACATGAATTACACTAGAAGATATGAAAATAAGGGATGTCCCTTGTTTGACAGAGTCTCTACATATATAATAAGGCCTCAAAGTCACCAGGTTTTGGATTATGTTTCAAATCCAGGCTCACTGACATTCATGAAACTTCTGGTGAAACGGGGGCCAAGTTTCGAGCAAGGCTGAGTAGAATGCCTCTTTCATGTGGAACCTGTGTGAAACTCAGTGGCTTTGGCTGGGTCTCACCTTGAGTTTCACATTCAAACAACCCAAAGCTTCAGAGTAAAATTAAAGGGTGAAGGGAAACAAACAAACAGACCCCACAACAATGACAAAGCAGGAAAAGATGACTTGCTGGAGTTTGGAATGACTGTCTTCTTCCACACGCATTTCATCGTGGTGCCGCTGGATTCTCCAGCTAAGCTCGTATTGCCCTCAGCTATGCCAAATCAAGGCTTCCCCGCACTAAGGGGGAGAAAATTCTAGACCCCCAAAGGCCCCAGGAAGCAGTGAAACATTTGCTCATAATAGCCAGAGGATTTAAAATGTTGACTGTACGCAGGAATGTGATCATTAATATAGGCCTTAGAATACAGATTTGCAAGGGAAGAGGTAACAATTAAACGTCCAACTTTTGGAAATTTAAAAAAAGAAAAAGGCTGACTGAACATCTCTAGGTTTTCCTACTAAATTCAAATTCTAGAGATTACGTTGCACTGATGCCTCCTCTGAAAGTGACCTCTCCCACAGCATTCTCCAGAGCTCCACCCCTCTGGAAACTCGTCCTGTGGCCACTTGCTTCCTGCCTTCTTAGCAAGGTGCAGGGTGCAGAGAGCAGACTGGGCCAGGCGGGGACTGAAACAGTCTCCTGACAGGATTAGTTAGGCTCATTCAACTCCTAACGTGCAGCCCAGCTAGTGGTGGGCAGCATACCGCGGGACGCCAACCCCAGCTCTAGCAGAGGACTTGGAAAATAACAAACCAGTGTAATCAACCCATGAATTTTCTTTAAAGTAAAGGGAACATTCAAAAGTCTATTGAATGGTAAAAGAGGACTCCACTTTGCCTATTTTAGGAAATACACTTGTTCATAAAATTTTCTTATCCCTCATTCAGCCAAAGTGTCACCAGCATAAAAACTTCTGGCTACAAAAGTTTTTTGTTTTGTTTTGGTTTTTGCGGTTTTTTGGTTTGTTTGTTTTGTTTTGTTTTGTTTTCTTACCACTTCCCCCACCCAGTTTTCCTCTTTAAAAATTTTCTTTCCTTTTCTTTCCTTTTAATTTTTCTTCTTTTACATTTTTTTTAAAAGTTATCCAGAAGATCACAGTGTGTTTCAAATGCATGTTTTCTTTTGACATGTGGCCTGAGATACCAATAAACTTCTTTGGAGACAAGAATCTTTAAATTCCAGGGATTTCAGTGTCCATGTGAAAAAAGCTACATTAGGCCCCAAGGCACACTGTAATTCTGAGGCAAGAGAGGGCGATCAAAGGAGAGGTTGATAGAGTCAGGTTGTACACACCAGCCTTTGCTGTGTTCACAGATCTGCAGCATAGTCATAAAGTCTGTATGATGAGAGACCTTGCCATAGAAAAGTCTTTTTCTTTGAGTTGGGGGGTTAACCTGAGACATCATCAGTGGGGGAAAACTCAAGCCCAATAGATTCTTTAAGGGAAATGGTATAAAAGCATTAAACAAACAAACAAAAAAAGACTTTTTACTGACCATAGTAAATACCCACAATCAAAGTAAATGCTGTGTTTGAAGTTAAAGTCCACAGATCAAAGTACTTTGCAAAATGTCAAGTGTGAGCATAAGGAGGGGGAGAGGAGAGGCACAGAAACCTCACCGAAATATTGTACTGTCAACATTAGAGAAACCTGCTAGCAGAAGACCTTTGGCTAGGTAAGGCATTTTCAAAACTGAGTCACCTGAATTGTGCTAGGAGCATACAAAAAATGAAACGCACTAATAAAAAAAGCTGTTCGAATTCTGCCTTAGCAATCCACAAACCAGTGACGAAAAAACAAACAAAATAGAGCTGTCTCACTGTCCTTAAAGACCAACTATAATGTTTTCTTTGCTCAGGTGGTTGTAAGCGTTTCCTTTTTTTTTTTTCTCTCGGTGCCGTGAGAAAGTTAAAAATAAGTAAAACAGTCTAAACAACAGAATTATGATGTCTGGGAGCCCCCCTCACTGCTGGCAGGCAGGTTAATTAGAGTTCCGATGCGGCTCAGACCCAGGCGTGTGTGTGTGTGTGTGTGTGTGTGTGTGTGTGTGTGTGTGTGTGTG